TAGGAGCGGAGGTACCTAGAACCATCAAGGGAGAAGAGCAGAGAGCGGGACCCTACCCAGAGAAGCAGTGATGCCTGAAACGGAGCCAGAGATGATGACGTGGAGCGATGGAGCAGCTGGAGACTTTAGATCCAGAGAGGGAAAGTGACGATGTGCTGAAGACCTGGGGGCACGGGGGAAGGATTGCATGAATGGGATTGTAACCTTGGCAATGAGACGATATATGATAGAATGAATGTAAAACAAATGTTCTCCCATGTAAACTATCACATAATTCACATTAAAACATTTAATAAAATAAACTAAAATAAACAGATGTCCCACTATCAACAAGTCTGTATGTGATCTTAGAACAAGAATCTGATGAAGAATTAGAAAACAACCCCAGAGTGACCTGATTGAGCAGGTAACTGAGATGCTATATGGATTGATTCACACCGACTACATTCTCGCCCAGATGTTGGGAAAGTACCAGCAAGGAGGCTTAGACTATTGTCTCCGGGTATACTGTGAGAACCAGCCAATGCTTCCCATTAGCCGGTCAGATATCCCAGGTGAGACCATGGTGAAGCTCTACTGGCCAAAGTGCATGGATGTGTACACATTTAAGTCCTCAAAGTATCACCACACAAATGGTGCCTGCCTCAGTACTGGCTTCCCTCATATCATCTTCATGGTGCACCCCAAGTACAGGCTCAAGTGGCCCATCAATGAATTTGTGTCAAAGCTCTGTGCTTTCAAAATCCATCCAAAGGCCTACCCGCTGCAGCTCCCAGCCACCAGCAAGTTTAAGAGCCAAGCCAAGATGTTTTGCTGATTCCCCACCCTACCTGTTCCTAAGTTTTTGCAGCCTTGTTCCTTTTCTGCCACCCTTTCAGGAATCCTCTATGGATTTTGATTTAAACTAAAGGATTCATTATTTTGGCAAGAATATGAAATACAGTATAAGAAAAGGCAAAAAAAAAAAAAAAAAAAAGAAGAAGGGTGCAAATATTGATCTCTTCCAATAGATTGTCCAAGTATCTGTTTTCCAAATGTTTTGGCATAGATGAGTGAGTGCCACCAATGCTACATCAGTTTGTTAAAGATCCTTGTTTCTCACCAATTCATGGCGGCTTGGACGTCTTCCTTCATTGGTTCTTGATAATATGGTACTTCCTGAAATGTTTAAGCATACACCCGTTCTTTTTGGTACAGTGATTCTCTGTATTCCTCATATCTTCTTTTGATGCCTCCTGCATCATTCAATATTCTACCCATTTTGTTGTTGTTAAGTGCCATTGAGTCAGTTCCAACTCATAGCAACCCTGTACAGGTTTTCTGAGGAGTGGCTGGTAGATTTGCACCACCAACTTTGTTCTTTGCTGTCTAGTGCTTATCCTGTAGTGCCACACCAGTTCCCTTTCCATTTTCTTTTGATACTTCCTGTGCCATTCAATATTTTGCCCACAGAATCCTTCAATATTGAAATTTGAAGATTGAATTTTGTCTTCAGTCCATTTACCATGATAAATCCTGTGTATATTCTTCCTACTTTAGCTAAGACTGTTCAAAAAGTGTTAAGGTGCAAAAGTGAGAGAGGCAGACAAGGTGAGGCTATAGGAGTTTGTTGTCTCTCCCTATTAGTCAAGGAAAGGAAATCTTTCTGGAGTAGTAAAATTTTGAGAGTTACTTCAGTAAAGGGATTAAAGCCAAAAGAGTCGTCTGATAATAAAGCTATATTCTTCCTGCTCAAGAATTAGATAGAAAGAATGCAGGAAACCTGTAGTTGAACAGGTGTCCACACAAGCACAATATGTTAATTTGCCAAATGTTGATGATTAATGGCTGATTGGAGGGTGGGAAGAGACAAGAGAAGTGAGATTTTGGTAAAGATTGGTGGTGGACATTGAAATCAAGGATTAGGATACTTCTTAAGAGGATTTCATTAGCGACTGAACTAGGAGAGACAAAGGGAGAGGATGGTTAAGACCTGAAGTGATAAGTCAGTCACTGTAACATTTCTAATTATGACTGTAAAATTTAGAAAAGTGTTAAGAAAAATCACACATTGTGTTTAGATGAAAAGGAGTATCTTAGTGTCCTTCTGCTGCTGTAACCTGAAATACCAAAAGTGGTTGACTTTAAAGAATAGAAATTTATTTTCTCAAAATTGAGGCTTGAAGTCCGAATCAGGAGCACAGGCTATAAGGAAAGGCTATAACTGTTAGCTTTGAAAAAGGATCTTTGTAACATATAGATTCCCTCTTCCTTGGTGATCTTCACGTGACATCTGTTTTCTCCCCATTTGTTCCTGCTGTCTCTGTGGCTCTGCTGTTCTTTATAACTCACAAGCAATTAAATTTAGGACACTCCTTTCATTGATACGACTTAATTAACATAACAACAAGAACCTTATTTCCAAATAAGATTACATTCACAGGTATAGGGGCTAAGGATTCCAACACATATTTCAGAGGCATATACTTTATAACAAGAATTGACCATAATTCATTCTAAGAATATGTTCATTTGCTTATGATTTTTAATGAAAACTAGGTATCAGCTAAAAATCCACACGATTAATTTCAGAATGGAAGATCCAGTTTGGGTTGTGGCTCTTTTGCACTTGACTTGCAGTGTTCTATGATTCTAGTCATGCCACCTCAGTGCTCTCCTGTCGTCAGACCAATGAACTGTACTTATTTACAAGGGTGGCTTAAACAATATTCCAGAGAGTTGGTATCCTTTAAGAATGGAAAATTAGTTCTCACAATTCTGGAGGCTTGGAGTCCATGTTCAGGCTGTTAGGAGGACAGGCTCTCTCTGAAGACCTTCAGGAAAGATCCCTTCTTGTCTAAGGTAGATTCTGGTAGTGCTAGGTATCCAACTTTGCTACTCTAGTCATCTTCCCTCTGTGTCTTTTCTTGTCTTTATTAAGTAAACCGGTAAAGAGCCTTGGTGGTGCCATGGGATAAGCATTGGATTGCTAACTGCTTGGTTGGCAGTTCAAACCTCTCAGGTGCTCTGTGAAAGATAAGGCTATCTGCTCCAGTAAAGATTCACAGTCTCAGAAACCCCAAACAGTGTCACAATGATTCAAAATCAATTTCATGGCAGTGCTGGTTTTATGTTTTAGTCATGTGATTTGGACATGTCCTATTCCATTGTGAACCTTCTCCCATTCATCAATGACTAAATTAGTATGAGTTTAGTTTTAATTCGTCAATTAATTCACAAATATGCCCTGAACAGCTACACTATAAAAAACACCAAGTCCAGGAACTTGTGGAGTTGCTAGCTCATCTACTTGGTTTCTCATGGCCAGCTGCCTTAGATAGTGTAAGATATTCATTTTAATAATTTTTTTGGTTTTATCAGTTCCTGTTTCCTTTTAGGAATTTTTTCTGTACCAGCCTCTGTTGTCAAATTGTTTCCAGAAGTTTGGTGTGCATACTTCATTAGTCTTTTTGCACCCCTTATAGGATAAGCACTAGACTGTGAAACACAGCATCTTTGGATCAAGCCCACCAACCACCCCATCAGAGATAGATGAAGCTTTCTCTCTCTCAAATATTTACAGCCTTGGAAACCCTATACAGGGTTACTATGAGTCAGAAACAACTCAAAGGCACTTAACAATAAAGCAGCTACAGCAATAGACCTATCTATTGCTTGGCTGAAAATTCACTCACAGGAGAGATTTCAGTTCCCAGTTCAAGATGTGTAGGGTGACCAAGAGCCTTCTTGATTCTTGGGGTTTCACCAGTCTCCAGATTAAAGAGGCAGCATTTACCCAAGGACAAAGTTCAGAAGGGTAGAGAAGGAAGGAAGAATGGCAATAATTAACACAAGAAGGAAATGAGATCAATGATGTTACATTGAGAGGATTGCAATCAATGTGATCAAACAGTGTGTATGGTTTGTTGAATATAAAATTGATGATGTTATGTTGTTGTTAAGTGCCGTCGAGTCGGTTCTGACCCATAGCGACCCTGTACAGTGTTTCCGAGGCTGTAAATCTTTATGGGAGCAGACAGCCTCATCTTTCTCCCACGGAACAGCTGACCTTAAGGTTTGCAGCACGATTCATAACCGCTACGCTCCTTAAAATTGATATGTTCACCCAATTCACAATAAATAGTTTTTTGAGTTTTTTGTTTAGTTTTGTTTTTAAGATTAGAACTTTGGAAATAAGAACAAATCCAGTCAGGTGAGCTCTATATGCTCAGTGTTCTTCTGGGAAAGGGCCTTATGACTTTTGGGGTGTTTGTTGGAGAAAAAGATGAGCAAATCCTTGAATTCTGGAGTTGAAGAGCTTTGATGAAGATCTAGATTTCTTGATTATTCACTGAGTGATCTGAGTTACACACTGGTGGAATGACTTCATGTTCTAAACCTGTGTTTTTATTTGAAAAATGGAAATGATTTTTCTTTACTTGCCTCCTGAAACTTATGCTTAGGAAGGGGTTAAACCCTCTGGCAATGGGAGTGAAGGAAATCTTCACCCTGGGTTTTTCCTTTGTCTTCAGGGCTACCTGAAACAGTGCCGTAAGAGAAGAGACATGTTTAGTGATGAGCAATTGAAGGTGATCTTTGGGAATATTGAAGACATCTACAGATTTCAGATGGGCTTCGTGAGAGATCTGGAGAAACAGTACAACAATGATGACCCCCATCTCAGTGAGATAGGACCCTGTTTCCTGGAGCACGTAAGTTTCTTTCCTATTTTAGAAAGAGTCTAAGGGAGGTTAGGAAGCATTGGGAAGAAAGTCTGAACTATCTGGTTTTGCTCAGCTGTTTTGTTCTACAATAGAAGATGGGCTCTTCTATGGCCCTGGCTTTAAATACCTTGATGGGTAAAGAAATTTGGAAAGATGCTGTGATTTGTCCTGAGACTCTCTTTCTTTGATAATTATGTCCCCTTTCCAAACACTTATGTGTAAAATTGCATTTGGTTTTAATGGGTTCCAGTATATTTGTGAAGATCAGTGAGCATATTTACAGTATAAATAATTCAGGAATCTGAGAAATAAGAGGTACCATTATTGTTAAGTGCCTTTGAGTTGGTTCCAACTCATAGTGACCCTGTATAGGATTGCAAAGGAGCAGTAGTTGAGTTTGAACTGCCGACTTTGTGGTTTAAACCGAACTTGGGGTCCAGCGCTTTATCCTACAGTGCCACAGCAGGTCTCCAAGAGGTACCATAGTCAATTATAAAGGAGGACACTGAAAAACTTCAAAAGGAAAGCACTGGGGTAAGAGAAGTGACAAGTGTAGGAAAAGTGACCATGTGACTTACAGAAATGTTAAGTGCCGTTGAGTCAGTTCTGACTCATAGAGATCCTGTATAGGGTTTCTGAGGAGCACTTGGTGGATTTCAACTGACAACATTTGGGTTCAAAAAGACAGTGCTAATCCTACAGCGCCACACCATGACTCCATAGAAATGATTAAAAATTAAAAAGTGAGAATTTGTAATTTGCTTCTGTAACTGGTGTGGCTCTGTAGGAGCAACAGTGGACTGCAAGGTCAGTTTGAATCCCAAGGTCATCAGTTCAACCTCACTAGCTGCTCCTCAGAAACCCTGTACAGAGTTACTGTGGGTCAGAACTGACTTGACAACACTTAATAACAACAATCTGTAACTCCATTTCTGCGCAACTTTGGACAAGCTTATTGCCTTCTTCAGCTTCAGTTTACTCATCTAGAAATGTAGAAGTTTCCACTGTATGACATTTCTTATTATCTAACATCTTTTGGGTCTCATTCACAGATGACCTAATTACTTTAACACCTGTTCTCTCCTTTTTTTTTTTTTTTTTTTTTAATGAAGAGTCAAAGTTAAGCATGTGCATGACCTAGACGTTTTATTACTGAACATATACTCCAAGAAATTCCCAGGGGTCCATGAAGTCTACTGATTGCATGGCAGTGTTGTGTATGGTATAGAACAGTTAGAAGAAGAAACTCAGGTATTTATCACCAGGGTTATGAATAAGAAGTATATGGAGAATGATTACTATTAGATTTTATGTAGCAAGAATCAGTATACCAGATGCATGTGGCTTGTAATAACATGTATGCTTATCACAAACATAGTAGTGAGTAAGAAGATAAACTATTAAGCAGTTCTCAACTGAGGACTAGGAAGATAAACTATTAAACAGTTCTCAACTGAGGACTGTTCTGTGTGTGCATTATAGTATTTTTAATGACATTTGTGGTCTCTACCCACTAGATGCTAGTGACAACTCCTTCCCCTAGTAGTTACAGGAAAAAAAATGTCTTCAGACATTGTCACATGGCACCTAAAGGACAAAAAGAATCACTCACTGATCCATGTAGTTGATCATATGATTTAACCCTTTAATACGTTCATGTTGCGAATATAAATAGAATGATTTTCATATGTTAAATGACTGCTATACTGTTGGGCTAAATCCAGCTTAATCCAGTTGTGTTAGCCTTCCATATTATTTTGTTGTGTTTACAAATTTATTGTTCATCCTTTAATTAGTCAGTTCCAGAATTTTTTTCAACTTTATTTACCAATAATTGACATGTAGTAAAGTTCACCAAAATTCAATTAAATTTAACAAATGTATGTAGTCATATAACCAGCGTCATAATCTTAATATAGGACATTTCTCTCACTCCATAAAACTCTCATTTTCCCTTTGCAGTAAGTTCTTAACTCTGTCTCTGGAAGTCACTGATCTGCTTTCTGTCACCATAGTGTTGCCTTTTCTAAAATATCATATTAAAGGGATCTTACAGTAGGTAACTTTTGTGTATGTGTGTGGTGGTACAGGATTTATTTTTTTAATTATAATTATTATTTTTTAATTGAGTTAAGGTTTGCAAACCAGATCATTAGCTTTACATTCAACAAATCATACACTTTGTTTCATCTCAATGATTACAATCCCCTCCATGCAACATCAGTTACCCTGCTTTGTATCCTGCTTCCTCCTTGTTGTTCCTATTGGCATTCCACCTGCCTTCCTGTCCCTTCTTGATTTTATCCTTAAATATGTATTGTCCTTTTTATTTTGAATGGTTGACCATTCCCTGGAGAGTATACCTTGCTAGGGTTGTTGTTCCCCTAAAATCCTATCTACTACTTGGCTGAAAATTGGGCCACAAGGGTGAGCTCATTTCTAGACACGATCATCAGCTTTACACTCAACAAACCATACATTTGTTTCATCTCAATGATTACATTCTCCTCCATGCAAAAACAGTTACCCTGCTTACTCCCTGTGGTTCCTGTTTGCATTCCACCCACCTTCCTATCCTTTCCCAACTTTGTCTTTAGGAAAATGTTGCCCTTTCTATTTTGAATGATTGATCGTTTCATGGTGAGTATACCTTACTAGTGCTGTTGTCTCCACTATAAACCTGTCCACACTGCTTGGGTAAAAATTGGGCCACAAGGGTGAGTTACATTCCAGAATTAAGGGTGGTTGAGGGACATAGTCTTAGGTTGATCCAGTCTCTGTCTGTCCAGTAAAATTGATATTTTTATTATTATTATGAAATAATTTTAAGTTTTTCCTAATTTTTCTCCTACTCTATCTGGGATTCTGTAATGTGATTCCTTTCAGGTCAGTTGGTAGTGTTAGGCCACAAAGCAAATTTGCAAAAGGAATGCTTCCAGTTTCTCTCCACTGAGAGTAATAGTGGCTGTTCATTTTGTATATATATGCTGGTAATTATGTTGTAGAATTTCCCTTCAGTTCCCAATTTGTTGCTTTTATCAAGAATGTGTGTTGTATTTTACCAGATGCCTTTTCTGCATCAATCAATATGATCATGTGTTTCTATGTTTCTTTTATTTTTATTGATATGGTAGATTATATTGATTGTTTCTCTAATATTGAGTCATCCTTGAATCGATGGTATGAGTCCTGCTTGGTCATGATGTATTTTTATTTTCTTTTCCTTTTGATATGCTTTTGAATTCTATTGGCTAGGATTTTGGTGAAAATTTTTGCATCTATGTTCATGAGGGATTGTAGTCTATAATTTTCTTTTTAAGTGATGTCCTTACTTTGTGTTGGTATGAGTGTTATACTTGCTTCATAAAATGTATTTGGGAGTTTTGCATCCTTTCCTATGTTCTGGAATAGCTTGAGTAAAATTGATTTCATCTGTTCTCTGAATGTTTGTTAAAAATTCATCAGTAAAGCCATCTGTGCCAGGACATTTTTTGTTGGGAGATTTTTAAAGACCTGTTCAATTTCTTCTTTTGTTATAAGCTTGTTCAAGTTTTCTACTTCACTATTTGTTCATTTAAATTGGTTGTGTTTTTCTAAAAATGTTTCCACTTCTCTTAGTTTTTCAATTTTATCAGAGTATGGCTCTTCATAGTATTCAGTTGTTTTCCTTTTTATATCTGTTGATTCTGTTGTGATGTCACCCATATTGTTTCTTATGCATGTTATTTTCATCTTCTCCCTCTTTTCTTTTGTTAGATTTGTCTAACAAAAATGGTTTGTCAATTTTATTAATTCTTTCTTGAATGCACATCTTCTTACCATTCATGATACTAGGGGAATTTTCTTCCAGCAGCTCTTTGACTATCTCTTCTGTGTTTTTTTTGTTTGTTTCTTTCTTTCTTCCTGTTCTGGAATTCCAGTTAACAGTAAGTTATTCCTCTTCATGTAGTTTTATATGAATCCTAGCCTCTCCTTGGATTATTTATTTTTTTGTTATTGTTTTGGCTTGGTTCTTCTTGCTCACTAATATTGAGAGATTTATCCTCAAGCTTTCTAATTCTGGCTCCCATTGATTCAAATCTACTCCTTTACCAGTCAGTATATTGTACATGACTAATGTCTTAGTATTAATTTCTTGGATTTCTGTTGGCAGGTTTTGTACTGTCTCCAACCCTTTGTCTATTTTGTTCGCTTGTTCCTGTGGTACATTTTCTGAATTCTGCCTTGCTTTCCTTGACCTTTTTGTCAGTCTTTTGGAGGTACCTAAATACCATTTGGAGTCTTGGTGTGACGCTGTGAGCTAATGCACTGGACTGAGAAGTCGGTTTGAATCACAAGGTCAGCAGTTCAAGCTTACCAGCCACTTCTTGGAGACCCTATACAGGGAGGCTTTGGGTAGGAACTGACTTGACAGCACTTAACAACAAAATACCATTCACCTGAATACTTTTTCAGGTAATTCCATTGCCTCTTTTTCCTCATAAACAGTTTCTGTCTAGACCTCATCCAACACAGATTTGTTTGTTCTTTTGGCAGTCCATGGTACTTTTAATATTCTCCTCCAACATTGGAGGATAATAGCAATATATACATACACATACATGCGTGAGGGTCAAGTAAAAAAATATCCACACTCCATTATATTGAAATGCCCACCCGTGTCCACTGCAGATGATAACACTGAGTGCACATGAAATGATTCCGTCTAATAGACATGTGGCAACAGATTGTGTGACAGATCATTTGCAAATCATCCAAACTGCCAAATTTGTAAATTGCCTATCAAATAATATACGACAAAATTTGGTTGCAAAAAGTTTGTCAGACATGAGTACTGAAACAACTTGCAGAAGAGTATAAACAGAAGCATTTGGACATAAACAAAAATTTGAACTGATTCTTGAAGGAAGGTAAATGTTTCTTTAAAAAAAAAAAAAAAAAATCCTTACTGGTGACATGACATGGCTTCATTACTACAGGCCTGAGAT